TCGATATAGCGCCGCCCGTGGTGTAACTCATCCGAGTTCCCCTTACTCACAGGACTGTGCCCCCACGTGTCAGGACTACTATCCCCAAGCCCCGCCATCAGGAGCATTAGAAGTCGCTTCAAGCAAGGATATACAGGTGATAGAAATTATTAAGATGATTTGAGATAATCATAATTAAGTAATTCATCGAGTCTCTATATATATATTGTTGTGGATTCCGGGATGAAATCCGGTCTCAAATGAATGACAAACTCAGGAATGAAATATAGCAAATAAATGTATTGACGCAATAATACAATTGGTTATACGGTTCGTAGATCCAGAAATGCGGTTAGTTGCAATAATAATAATATATATATACAGTCTAGGAAATTCAGTATCGAAGTATGACTTCCTTCTGAGTCTACGTGCTCGTAACTGTGACTCCTACAAAGCGGTTACCTCACACTCTTACTCTCTCTATTAATCTACCTCTCGGGTATTCACCGGCAGCAATACAAATACACACTGGTCGATTCCACTTGTATGAAAAAGGGTGGACACCATAACATATATATATATATATATATATATATATATATATATATATATATATATATATATATATATATATATATAAAGATCTTGTTTATTTGTATGGTTCACGTGGAAATTAAATATCTATTATTAATTTTTTATGAATTATTATTTTATGTTTTATGTGTTCCTTTTTAGTTTTAGAAGAAATCTTATTTAGTATTTTGTCGTAGCTTTCAAATGGAGTAAACAATTTAAGTCTGTCTTCGAGTTTCATTTATAATTAACCAGCCATGTTCGTCTTGTAGGAAAGAAGGTATTTAATAATTTCAAGAAGCCCCCAATATATGACAGATATACTGACGCTATTTTCATCTTAATGGAAAACATGTCTCCTTAATTATAAATAAAAACTGACGACAGACTGAGATCTTCCACAACTGAAAACCGCCATGATCTCGTAGATTGTACATATAAATAAAACGGAATATATCAAAGAAAATAATAATTAATAAAAATACTGAATAATCTAAATAAATAGCGTCTTCAACATGAGCGATTGTTGGCGACGTCTTTCCACCTGTCGAGGTTAATGTCTATCACCCCCCCCGATGTCTCTTTTGTGCAGACGTCTTGGAGGCAAAGATGAGGTCAACCTCTTGCCTCATTGTCGACGTTTGGGGACTTTGTACCATACTGTGCACCAGGTCTTTGTATTCAGCTCTTCCAAAAAGTGTGGTTGCTTCTCCACAAAGCCTACACCACTATATTCAAATCATAAGCGCTGGTGTCTGGCTGTCGGCTCCTAGGATCTGAGTTACTTGACCCTCATCCGTCGAAAAACGACAGAAGAATCGAGTATATACATATATATGTTTATATATATATATATATATATATATAGTATATTTATTTTTAAAAATATGTATTTATCGCGACACAGAAATTAACGTGTTTCGAAACCAAAAACTAAATATTAAATTAAACTTAAAATTTTAAGTTCAGTTTTGTTTTTCAAGCGATGCTGAATAACACTATTATTATTATTATTATTATTATTATTATTCAGCATGGCTTGAAAATGGAACTGAAGTTCAAATTTTAAGTTTAATTTAAGATTTAGGTTTTGGTTTTAAAAAACGGTAATTTCTGTGTCGTGATCAATATATATCTTTAAATAGTAAAAGAACTCTGCATTAGAAATGTGACTATTCTTTCTTTATATATATATATATGCATATATATGTCTATATTTCTGAGATGAGGTATTATGTACACTATTTACATTATTCGGACTATTGTCCTCATCTTTGTCGCCATATTTATTACAGCGTTTCGACCACAAGGGCAAATGGCACAGTGGATAAAGGCGTTAGTTAGATCCAGTGATTGGGCCCAAAGAGTGTGAGTTCAAAATTTTAGTGAGAGTGTATGTATGGGAGTGGGAGAGCTCTAGAGAGAGGGTGTAACAGAAGAAAGAAGAACAGGAAGGACTAAAGGTGAAGGTGGGGATTAAAATTTAACAGAGAGAAGTTTTAAAGAGAGGAGTTAAATAACGGTTTAACTGAGTAAGATACAGATAAATATGAATTATTTTTCGATACCCGGTGTTATATTTTCCGATTTCTTTTTGAATTTGTAAGTCTGATAAATTGGATCATGATCACGATTCTTAAGTTGTCTGAATTTCTTCGATGAAGCCTTGTTAAATATTATTCAATTATTGACTAGTATTTCTTTCGTGATATTTCTCTTGCTTTTCCACCAAGTAGTAATAGTCTTAAATTGTCTGAATTTCTAAGATGAAGCCTTGCCAGTTATTATTCATTTTTCACTAGTATTTCTTTCATCTTATTTCGCTTGCTTTTCCAGCAACTAGCAATAGTCTTAGGTTGACTGAATTTCTTAGATGAAACCTTGTCAATTATTATTCATTTTTGACTAGTATTTCTTTCATCTTATTTCTCTTGCTTTTCCACCATGTAGCAATAGTCTTAAATTGTTTGTATTTTTATACAATGCATTGCCAATTTGTATTCATTTTCCTTCGTCATATTTCTCTTTCTTTAAAACCAAGTCGTAACTGTCTGAAGTTGTATTCATTTGAATGTATATAAGTTTCATTTCTTTAGCTTTTGCACCTTTTAGTATTAATCATTAATTGTCATCGCTTTTTAGATGAAGCATTAGTAATTATAACTATTTCACCTCTAACATTTTCCTGCTTGAAAATAAAAGCGTTGATCTGAAATTTTAGCATTTCTAAATGTTTGATTTGTACAAAGAAAAAAGAACAGAAATTAAGCAGTGACAAAGAACCATTACAATAGTTATGAGACGCAAAGAAAGAAAGAAAGAAAGAAAGAAAGAAAGAAAGAAAGAAAGAAAGAAAGAAAGAGCGAATTGAGGATGGGGAGAAATGAGAAGAATCAAGTAAGAAAGAAACAAACAAAAGGAAGAAAACTAATCAAAGAGAAAAAATTACAAACGAATGAACGGAAAATAAATAAAAAAAGAAAGAAAGAAAGAAAGCTTTGGGGAAGAAGGTGAGAAAAGGAAAGCCGGAAACCGTTTAGAAAAGAAAGAAAGAAAGAAAGAAAGGACGAAAGGACGAAAGAAAGAAAGAAAGAAAGAAAGAAAGAAAGAAAGAAAGAAAGAAAGAAAGAAGGACGAAAGAAAGAAAGAAAGACAGAAAGAAAGAAAGAAAGAAAGAAAGAAAGAAAGGAAGGACGAAAGAAAGAAAGGAAGAAAGAAAGAAAGAAAGAAAGAAAGAAAGAAAGAAAGGACGAAAATAGTTAAGGAAATCTAAATAAAAGAAATAATTTCGGAAAGAAAGAAAGAAAAATAGAAAAAAGAAAGCGATAAAGAATGAAAGGAAAGTAAGAAATGGAAAAAAATCTGAATAAAAGAAATAAAGAAAATAGCTAAGAAAATTTAGACAAGTTAAAGAAAGGATGAAAGAAAATATCTAAGTCTGGATAAAAATAATTTCGGAAAGAAAGAAAGAAACAAAGAAACAAAGAAACAAAGAAACAAAGTGTACTGAAGATTCACTCAGATAGCGGAAAAGAGAAAGAAAATGTAAAACAATAAATAATGGAAAATAATTTCGAAAGAAAAAAAGAAAGACTTGTAGCAAATGTGATAGACGAAAAATAATATAGTTAAGAAAATCTGGACAATAGCGACGAAAGAAAGAAAGGAAATAAGAAAGTAAGGAAGGGAGGGGGAAGGAAAGATGCGAAAATTTAAGAAAAGATGGACAAAAGAAAGAAAATAGCCAAGAAAATCTGGACGGTAGAAAAGAAAAAAAGATAAAAAGAAATAAAGACAGGCAACAAACAAACGAGTACTAGAAAGAAAGAAAGAAAGAAAGAAAGAAAGAAAGAAAGAAAGAAAGAAAGAAACGGAAGTAGAAATAATAAACATGTGGCTAAAAGAAACAGAAAAGTGTAGAGAGAAAGAGAATAAGAAATAACGTTAATTAGCAGAAGAAAGAAAGAAAGAAAGAAAGAATCATGTTAAGAAATGAAAGAAAGAAAGAAAGGAAAAGAAAAAAAAGAAAATTTATCTGAGAAGAAAATTATAATCGAATGAACGCATAATAAATAAATGACATAAGAAATAAGTAAATAAGGAAAGAAAGAAAAAAAGAAGACCGATTATAAAACATAAAAACCAAAGAAAGAAAGAAAGAAAGAAAGAAACAAACAAAGAAACAAAGAAGGAAAGAAAGAAAATTCATCAGAGAAGAAAATTACAGTCGAATGAACTCAAAATAAATAAATGACAAGAATAGAAAATGAAAGAAAGAAAAACAAAACTATTATAAAACAGATAAAATACAAAGAAGAAGGAAAGACGGAAAGAAGGAAAGAAAGAAAGAAAATTTATCGTAGAAGAAAATTACCATCGAATGAACGCAAAATATATAAATGAAAGAAAGGCAGAACGAATGAAGACATTAAACAGATAAAAAAGAAAGAAAAAAGAAAGAAAGGAAATTCACTGGAGACGAATAAAGATTAGAATTGATTGAAAACTGAAAACGAATATAAAAGTCGGTTATAAATTAACGGAGTATAAAATAAAGAAAACGAAAAAAAAGTTTAGTAAATAAACAAAAGCGAGACTGACAAAAAAAAGAAAGAAATTAAAAAAAAAAATCTACACAGAATAGAAGAGTAAATGCGAAAAATCAACGTATCAAAAAGTCGGAGATTTTTATCCAAACAGTACAACGACAAGAAAATTATTATCAATATTTACCAGCATTTTCTCATATCGACATTCCACGGCTCGCCACTCCCTCTTTTTAGCAAGTAAATGTCATAAATTATTCAGCCCTCATTGTAGGCGAAATAATAATAATAATAATAATAATAATAATAATAATAATAATAATAGAAAAACGCCCCCTCCAAAAGAAGACATATTTAGAACGTGCTGTTTATTGGTTATTTATTTTTAAATAGACATATCAAATGAAAACAAATATTACTAGCCGTACCTTCCCCACGTCCTCGACTTGCCTTTTCGTTCTGACGCGTCCACTGCCCTCACCAACCCGGGGAATCAAAGTCTTTAATGTCTCCGAAGTGACAAAAATAATACTTCATCCTTTCTTTCAGCCGCTCATATCCATGTCACATGATCACAAAACAATTATTTATTCAATGGCTTCGTTATTGATAAGATTATGTTTCGCATTCGCTTCTGATTTTTGAATTTTCTTATTGTCATTATCGTCTGCTTTCTTCAATTCTTAGCCTCGTTCGTTCGCCCTGTTTGTCTTTTTCTATCCTTCATCCCATTCTTGATTTTTCACGTGTTCTCCTCCTATTTTAAATCTCCATTTTAATGTTCTTTCTTTCTGTTTTTTTTTACTTTTTATTTCTTTCGCCATTCAGTTTTCTTTATTGGCTGTATAGTTTCTTTTTCTTCTACACTTCCCTCTCATTTTCTGGTTTCTTCATTTTCCCTCTTACGCTGGCATTTCTTCATTAATCTCCATCTTAGTCTATCCTTTATTATTCATTGTTTTATTCTCTCTCTCTCTCCCTCTCTCTCTCTTTCATCTGACCTATTAACACATTAATTTCTTTCTTTTCTTCTTTCCTTTTTCCATCTGTCTTTCTTTTACTCCTACATTCATTTTATTAATAATTTTTTCTTACTTTCTTTTTTTCAAATATTTCTTTCTTCCTTTGTGTTTCTGTCAAAGACTTGTTTGCTTTTCTTTCTTTCTTTCTTTTAAACATTTCTTTCCTTCCCGCAACCATTTTCCTTTCTTTCTTTCTTTCTTTCTTTCAAATATTCATTTCTTTCTTTCTTCCATTTTCTTTCTAATGGTTGTTTCTTTTTTTCTTTCTTCATTTTATCTTTCTTGTACGTGATTATTTCTTTCTTTTTTCTTTCTTTCTTGTACTCGATACCTTCTCTCATTCTTCTTAACTTTGTTCATTTTTTCTTTTCTTTCTTTCTTTCTTTTATCTTTCTTGTACGGGATTCTTTCTCTCATTTTTTCTTGTATTAGTTTCTTTTTTCTTTCTTTTTTCTTTCTTTCTTTTACGCGATACCTTCTCTCATTCTTCCTATCTTTTTTCTTTCTTTCTTTTTTAGTATTGCTTATTTATTTATTTCTATTAAATAGTAGCTTTCGTTTTTTTCTTCTTCATTTTATAGTTCTTTATACTTTCCATTCTCTCTCTCCCACTCTTTTCTTTCCTTCTGTTACTTTGTTCTTTCTTTCTCTCTTTTATGATTGCTATCCTTTTAGTCTCCGTTTTATTCTTTCTTGTAGTCCTTTCTTTTTTTTTTTTGTAGTATCTAGCATTTTCTTTTTTTTCAGTCTCTCTCATTCTCTACACTTTCTTTCTTTCTCATAAGTTTTTATTATTTTTTTCTTGTTTGATCATTCTTTCTTTCTTTCTTTCTTTCTTTGTAGTACTCATTTGTTTGTTTTCTGTCTTGATTTCTTTTTACCTTTCTTTCTTTCATTTTTCTTTCCTTCTGTCCAGATTTTCTTGACTGTTTTCTTTCTTTTGTCCATCTTTTCTTAACTTTTCTCATCCTTCCTTCCCCCTTCTATCCATACTTTCTTATTTCCTTTCTTATTTCGTCGCTATTGTCCAGATTTTCTTAACTATATTATTTTTATTCTATCACATTTGCTACACGTCTTTCTTTCTTTTTTCCGAAATTATTTTCCATAATTTATTGTTTTACATTTTCTTTCTCTTTTCCTCTATTTCAGTGAATCTTCAGTACACTTACTTTCTTTCTTTCTTTCTTTCTTTCCGAAATTATTTTTTATTCAGATTTTTTAGTATTTTCTTTCTTTCATTCTTTCTTTCTTGTCTAGATTTTCTTAGCTATTTTCTTTATTTCTTTTATTCAGATTTTCTTAGCTATTTTCTTATTTCCTTTTCTTCCTTTACTTTCATTCTTTATCGCTTTCTTTCGTCCTTCCTTTCTTTCTTTCTTTCTTTCTTTCTTTCTTCCTTTCTTTCTTTCTTTCTTTCTTCCTTCCTTTCTTTCTTTCTTTCTTTCTTTCTTTCTTTCTTTCTTTCTTCCTTCCTTTCTTTCTTTCTTTCTTTCGTCCTTTCTTTCTTTTTTTCTTTCTTTCTTTCTTTCTTTCTTTCTTTCGTCCTTTCGTCCTTTCTTTCTTTCGCCTTTTCTTTCTTTCTTTCTTTCTTTCTTTCTTTCTTCTCTAAACGGTTTCCGGCTTTCCTTTTCTCTCCTTCTTCCCCAAAGCTTTCTTTCTTTTTTATTTATTTATTTTACGTTCATTCGTTTGTAATTTTTTCTCTTTGATTAATTTTCTTCCTTTTGTTTGTTTCTTTCTTACTTGATTTTTACCATTTCTCCCCTTCCTCAATGCGCTCTTTCTCTCTTTCTTTCTTTCTTTCTTTCTTTCTTTCTTTCTTTCTTTCTTTGTAGTACTTAGTATCTTTCGTCTTTTTTCTTTCCCTTTTTCAAGTGTTCCATTCTTTCTTTCTTTCTTTCTTTCTTTCTTTCTTTTCATCTTTCATATACCTTTTCATCTTTTTCTTATTCCCATTACTACAGCTTTTTATAGTTTTTCCAATTCGTTATCTGTCAACCTTTATTTCTCATTTATCTTCCTTTTATTCTTAACTTCTCTGTTAATTACAACATGATTAATGACCAATAAAGTTAATAAGAACAATAACAACAACAGCAACAGCAGCAACGGCAACAACAACGACAGCAACAACAAGAACAAGAACAACAAAAATAATAATGCGAAAATAGCCACAACAGAATATATCAAAAGAAATGGTACAATAATAATCAATGAAGAAAGAATAACAAATTATATTTGTGTTGGTTCACTTCTCAGAAGTTTATTTAATCTCATTGCATTCTCACATCAGCAGAATGGCGAGATCAAGTGACAACAAGTTTCCTTAATAACTAATGTACTGTCTCCTGTTTTTTACCAAATTTTAGTAATGCTATTGTTTGAATGAATTCGGGTCTACCAGTTAGCCATTCCTTTCTTTCCTTTTTCTCAGCCTTCATGGGAATGTCCCGAATACCTGACTGATAATCTATAACAGATTTGCAGCACACTTTTTCTCACTTTCTGTCAGCTGATTCCTAAATAGCTTTTTTTTACCCACCTCTGTCAATGGCTCCTTTAATCATGGCAGCTGAGCGAGCTTGTCTCGGAGTCTGGGCTGTCCGCTTAGGCCTGATGTTTCCGACTCAAGGAGTAGTTCTGCTGCTTTGATTAAGCAGCAAAAACCTAGTGCCCTACCTTGAGTGGCTCTTGGGTATTTTTATTGGATGAAAGATAGCAAAGATAAATAATCCAGAGTCTGTCTATATTTCTGAGATGAGGTATTATGTACATTATTTACATTATTCGGACTATTGTCCTCATCTTTGTCGCCATATTTATCACAACGTTTCGGCCGTTGTACGCTCCGGCCTTCTTCAGGTGGTTGGAATTTCGAACTGAACCCTTTATTTCGCTGACTGGGGTAGACTGTTCTAGTTCCACGTGCCATGTTTGATGGATATCAATTATCAGTTATCTTCTGTTAATTTCCCTCTGAATTTTCCCTCTACTGCCTTAACCGGGTATTGAACTCATACTCTTTGGGTCCTGTCACTGGATCTGACCAACGCCTTTATCCACTGTGCCATGTGTCCTTGAGGATAAATAATCCGTATACCAAATGTTTGGAGACAGTTACCCGCGGCCAGCTTTTTTCTCAAGAACTGACACTTTTTGGAACAAACCCACGCCAAGATGTTTTCCTGAACACTATAAAATGGTAACCTCCCAGTCAAGGATGAATTGTTATCTATCAACGTTATCTTCATAATCTTCACTTCCAAACATCCTATTCATCAAAACTATTTACTATTTGTTGTGACCGAGTAATTAGTTAGGGAATAACAAAACAAGAGGTTGCAGATAGTGAATTGAACAATAAATACAACAGAAATGTTTTACACGACTTAGGAGTGTGTGTTGGCTGACAAGCATTCAGTCTATATCAGTGTTATATTTAGCAGCCCCCCAACTACGAGGATACATGTGGCACAAGGCCGAGTTTAACGTGGGTCATCCGAGGCTGTAGGCTCGGCCAAAAAATCCCCGTTGAACCCGCATAAACGGGTTCGGGCCTGTCTACCTCCCAAGCGAAACTCCGCTCTTCGGCACAACCTCGTCCGGCTTCCTCTCTATCCAAAGCAGAGAGTTCGACAGGAACTGCGAACAGTCACAGCCTCGGTAGAACACTCTATGTCACTTATATTTAACGACTTCCCCACGTGGGTCTATGTGGCACAAGGCCGAGTTTATAGTGGGTTCTCCAAGCCCGTAGGCTCGGTCAAAAATATTCCCTTAGAACCCGCACAAACGAGTTCAAGGCCTGTCTACCTCCCCGGACAAACTTTGCCGTTCAGCAAAGCTTCGTCCGGGTTCCTCGCTGCTGAGACAGGTCAGGTTGTGACACAAGGTCGGTTTAATGTGAGGAGCCCGAGTGCGTACACCCGGGCAAGGAAGAAAAATTCCCCACAGTCCCCGCAACTGTCTGTTGCACTGGTCTCGGTGTGAGCACCGATCCCTCCCTCTTGTGCAATGGGAGGGCGCAGCCTCGGGCAGCTTTTCCCTCGAGCTGGGGACCTTTTAGTATTATTTTCTCAGTTGCCCCTCTGTCCTTTGACAGAGAAGCCCCTGAACGCATTCTGTCCAAGGACACAGACGCAACTGAGAGATGATAAGCCATGCGTTACAAAACCCTCCAAGGAGGAATTTTTACGCTGGACAGCCTATATCACTGTGTTTACTCAACCCCCCACGAGGTCAGGTTGTGACACAAGGTCGGTTTAATGTGGGGAGCCCGAGCGGAACAAAAATTCCCCGAGCCCCCGCGACGTTCGGTTGCGCTGGCCTCGGTGTGAGCACCGATCCCTCCCTCTGGTGCAATGGGTGGGCGCGGCCTCGGACAGCTGTTCCCCAGGGCTGGGCACCTTTCAGTATTATTTTCTCGGTTGCCCCTCTGTCCTTTGACAGAGAAGCCCCTGAGCACACTTTGCCAAAAGACAGAGACGCAACTGAGAGATGATAAACCATGCGTTAATATCCCTCCAAGGAGGAATTTGCACGCTGAACAGGCTTACTTTCCTACTATTTATAGTAAGAGGAAGAGTCCACAATAGTCTCATTAGAGGGAGGACACGACAACACTATTTTAAGTAGAGCTTGAACATTTTATAGGGTGAATTCCACTCTACAGATATGGATATAATTCCAGATTTTATTCATTGCTCTCAAAAGTACTCTATACTACGATTCTCAAATTATCAAGAGGTCGCTAAGTGCTCAAGGATTTCGTGGTTTTAAAACCTTTCCAGTACACTGCATTGATTCATAAAATTCCTTGTTCTACATATTTTCCCTATCAAATCTAATGACCATAGTCTACCCTATTTTTAACACGGATTTGAATTAAAATATCCTCCTCCTAGGGTGGTTTCATGACCAAACCTAACTATTTATCCAGCTCTTATTTGAAGTGATTTAAATTCAAAGATTGCTTTTTTTCCAGGCTGCTTGTCCTACTAAGCCTTAAGTAACCAGTCTGGTTATCTATTTAAGCAGTTACTAGGGAAGGATAGATTCATGCCTTCTTTATTATTTACAAAAATTTTAGTTCAAAGTGGTCCATATACTAGACTGGCTACAACCCAAGGGAGGAGTGCCTACTCCACACATCTATTTTCCGTACAGCGTGAGGAGGATGTGTCCATGCTTTTTTCCGAGGGCATCAATGTGAAGTCAATGGATTCGAGTGAAATTCGAACTCATCTCGCGGAATCCACTTAGCGCGCTGATAATTCTCTTATATGATTGATTGCCACGTCTTTATTTCCGCACGGACTGTATTTATTTTTTTCTTATCGAGAAGTGTTTATTGGCGATGACAAATAAAGACCGCTGATGTAAACTGTTCAAGTTGTTAAAATATAATCGATCACGCGGTGTTTTCGTTCAATCAATAGAATCGTTTTAAAATTTTAATTAGCGCTTAAGCTATACATTTTTTTTTTGACGTTCAACATAATTCTTGCCTATTGTCACTAGTTTTTCCTATTTTAATATTCTGCTAAATCTTAATTCTGAAGCTAATGATTAACTAAGCTAATGGCAAGTTCTACGACAATAAAATATACATCGAATTTCCCCTGTCGTATACTTAAATATTTGAACTTAACGACTTCAAAATAACAATAATAAATATGAATAGTTGTTGTTATTTTAAGAAGTGGGTACAAAAGAAAAGATTTCAAATTAACATTTTTCCATTTCACTGAAACAGACGTTAAACACTTCTATCTTTCCTTCTTTCTTTCTTTTTCTCACTGAAACAAGTTAACGTCTTGGATACGTTATTTGTATCCTCACATGATTAAAACGAAATAGTTATTATTCATGAAATACAGATTACCCGAGCCAAGACAATGGCCTAATGGCTACAAGCGTTGGTTAGCATATTTAATGATAATAGTGATTGTGAGTTCAATCCCTTGGTCGAGCAGTGTGTACTTGATTGATTCGGTTTTCTTTTTACGGCTTACCAACCCACTGCAGCTTATTTAAATCCAGTAAATCTATTTTAGATTAAAAAAATAATATATATATATATATATATATATATATATATATATATATATATATATATATATATATATATATATATATATATATATATATATATATATATAATGGTTTTAGCGATACAAGTTTTACTAATTAACCCATAGCTTCGGGGAGAAGCAAACAAGAAATTATAATGTGGATATAAAATGGGTGATCAATTAGATATTAAAATCATTATATAAACTGATCCCTCATTTTGTGGCCAAATTATTTTCTATACATTTATATTCCAGAGAATGTAAATAAATCTAAAAGACACGCTTGTGTAGCTAATCAGTATTTTATTGGTAGATTGATTCGTTTTCTACGGCTTATCAAAAAACAAGAAATTATAATGTGGATACAAAGTGGGGGACCAATTCTTCGTCAATATCAATATATGAATTGGCCCCCCTTTTTGTGGCCACGGTAGTTTCTATCCATTTATATTCCAGAGAATGTAAATAAATCTAAGACATACCTGCCTACCTAATCAGTATTTCGTTGATTGATTAATTTGTTTTTTACGGCTTATCAACAAAGAAATTATAATGTGGATATAAAGTGGGGGATCAATTCTATATTACAATCATTACATAAACTGACCCCTCACTTTGTAGCCATATCAGTTTCTATGTTTATATTCCAGCAAATGTAAATAAATCTAAAAGACATTCCTGTGTAGCTAATCAGTATTTCATTGATCGATTGACTCGTTTTCTACGGCTTACCAACCCTTTTCAGGTTATTTAAAGCCAGGAAACTTTTTTTAGATTTCAAGAATTTGGTTGGTTGCGCGGGAGATAAGCATGGGTTAATGATCTAAATCGTATTAATCAACCCGTATCTGCGGTGGAGAAAAGGTGGATTAATATCTAAGCAGAGATTGATAAACAAAAAGAAATTATGTGGCTATAAAGTGGGGATTAATTATTTATTACAATCAATATATAAACAGATCTCTCACTTTGTGCCCGCGGTAGCATCTATACATTTTACCCAGAGTTTGTAAATAAATCTAAAAGACATTCTTGTGCAACTAATCAGGATTTCATTTATTGATAATAATTGTTTCGTGATCCAATTCTTACTAGTTAACCCATAGCTGGGGGAGAAGATGTGGCCGTTAGCCCATCCCTTATTTTGAAACGGTATTTTCAGGTTTTCAGCAAAGTGCTTCTTTCGGTGACAACAGAAATATCGATACGTTGGCATCTTCCAGGAATTTGTTCCACAGATTTTATTTGTCTCTTGCCATGCAACATCTATCTATCTATCTATCTATCTATCTATCTATCTATCTATCTATCTATCTATCTCAGTTTGTTCACATCTATCTATCTATCTATCTATCTATCTATCTATCTATCTTTGTTCATCTATCTATCTATCTATCTCATTTGTTCATCTATCTATCTATCTATCTATCTATCTATCTATCTATCTATCTATCTATCTATCTATCATTCAGTTTGTTCACATCTATCTATCTATCTATCTCTATCTATCTATCTATCTATCTATCTATCTATCATCTATCTATCTCTATCTCAGTTTGTTCACATCTATCATCTATCTATCTCATTTGTTCACATCTATCTATCTATCTATCTCAATTTGTTCTCATCTATCTATCTATCTATCTATCTATCTATCTATCTATCTATCTATCTATCTCAATTTGTTCACTATCTATCTATCTATCTATCTATCTATCTATCTCATTTGTTCATCTATCTATCTATCTATCTATCTATCTATCTATCTATCATCTATCTATCTATCTCATCTCAAATCTATCTATCTATCATCTATCTATCTATCTATCTATCTATCTATCATATTTTCTTCTTCAATTTGTTCCCATGTCTCTATCTATTCACTATTTATCTATCTCAGTCTGTCTCAAATTGTTCATCTCTATCTATCTATCTATCTATCTATCTATCTATCTTCTTCTATCTTCTTCTTCTTCTTCTTCTTCTTCTATCTAATAATTATTCATCTCAGTTTGTTCAACCCTGAGCCCTATCTGATTTTATGGTATGTTCCGCTTATCTTTTCTAAAAAAAAAAAAAACTCATCTATCTATCTATCTCAATTTGTTTCAATCAATCTATCTATCTATCTATTTTTAGATTTCTATCCTATCTATCTTCTTCTTCTTCTTTTCTTTTCTTCTTCTTCTAAAATACTTTCAGGTAATTGTTCTGATTAACTTTTCTCTCTGATAATTTTTTCATTTAAACGAGTACTAGATGGGCGACGAATTTTACAGTTTAAAATGGATAGATATAACCACAAGTTCTATGTTCACCTTCTATTTTGTGATTCTATCTCAGTCTGAACTTCAAAAATTCAAATGCAAATGTCAATCGTTATCTATCTATTCTCGTTCTTTCTTGTCCTCTATCGATTGCATATTTTCATCTATCTATCACTCATTAATCCCTTTGTCTGTTTAGTGGCATTCTTCTTCTTCTTGAATGATTTATATATATATAATATATATATATATATATATTATTAGTAACATGCAAACTGATCAATAATAATATTTTGTTGCATGAAATTGAAGTCATGAAAATGATTTATGAAGGTGATCGAAAACGATCAAGTCAAGATCATCTTGTGGTTTCACCATCCAAATAGATATAGATAATAGAAAAAAAAAGATAAAACAGCAACCAGATAATAATAAAATTCAAGATTACAAGTATTATATAGATAAATCTCTTCATTAAGATTCCTCTGTGGGCTGTGAAACTGAATTGATGAAAATGTTACCACCACCAAAAAGGTGATCAAAACGATCCAAGATCATCTTGGCTCCTAAATAGATAATAGAATTAGATGATGTCCTATGGGAATATAACTAACTTGACTGAAACCAGGCAAAGTTTTGAAATTCCAACATCAAGATCCTTCTTCTTCTTCTTCTTCTTCTTCTTTTTCTTATGAACATTTTTCTTCTTCTTTTTGAGATAAATGATTTTCCAGGTAATTGTTCTGATAGGTAAATTCTTTTCTTTGTATTTAAGAATATAACAATTGGTTCTGATTCTTTTTCACTTTTTCTAATTCCAAGCTGTTATGCATTAGATGGGCGACCTGATATTCTCGATTTAGGTACTCATCATTTTAACAGTTTAAAATGGATAGATATAACCACAAGTTCTATGCTAGGAGTTTCTTCTATTCCGATTGTGATTCCGGTGTCCTGACTGTCCATGTCATGCCTGAACTTCAAAAATTCAAATGCAATGTCAATCGTTAACCTCTGTTGTCTGAATTCTCGTTCTTTTATTGTCCTCTAACCTCGATTGCATATTTTCATCATATTCTCTAACACTCATTAATCCCTTGTGTGTTTAGTGGCATTATTGACTTGCTTGGGATGAAATGACTTATATATATATATATATATATATATATATATATATATATATATATATATATATATATTAACCAAATAAACTGATCAATAATAATATTTTGGTTCCTATGTCGGAAGTATGAAATTGAAGTCGATGAGAAATGGTGTCGTCACAAGCCAGAGAAGGTGATCGAAAACGATCAAGTCAAGATCATCTTGTGGGATTTCACCATCCAAATAGATAGATAGATAGATAGATAGATAGATAGATAGATAGGAACAGCCTTAGATAGATAATAATAATAATTATGCAAGATTACAAGTGCTGCCTTGATAAAATGGCGACTTATCTGCATTTATTCCTCTGTCGGAAATGTGAAACTGAATTCGATGAGAAATGTTACCACCACAAGCCAGAAAAGGTGATCGAAAACGATCAAGTCAAGATCATCTTGTGGAATTTCAAAATCTAAATAGATAGATAGATAGATAGAGAGATAGATAGATAGAAAGAGAGAGAGAGAGAGAGAGAGAGAAATGAACAGACATATGGGAATATAACGAACTTGACTGAAACCAGGCAAAGTTATTGAAATTAAGTCAACATCCAAGAAGACTTCGTGCCTACGGTCACGAAACCAAACTTTAATCGATATGTCTTTTTTTACGGCTTATGAACATTTTAAAGTTTAAAGGTGAAGACTTTTTTGAGATAATAATGATTTTCTGATAAAAAATCATACAATTTAATCCATAGCTGGGAGGATGATAGGTAAATTCATCCATTTCCGAACGGTATTTGCATTTAAGGGAATATAACGAATTTGACAGGAATTCGAACCCGGCACTCCTATTTCTAATCCCAAGCTGTTATGCATTACATCACCTTCACATCCAAGCTTACAGCACCTGATATTCTCGAAGGGATGCTCATTTAGGTACTGACCAGGCTCAACGTTGCTTAACTTCGTTTGATCGTACAGGAACCGATGTTATCATCGTGATGTGACCGTAAGCCATAAACGCAAGTGAAACAATGCCGCCGCTTGATGGGTTTTTTGAGAGGCACACCAAAGCTATTAAGACAAAAGTTTAATGGGATTGGTTGACGAAAGGCGAATTAGAACACGAGACTAAACGTCTCCTGGTAATCACTCATTAGAAACGATGGATATTAATTCTGTGCAGGAGAACATCTAAAGCCAAATGGATTCGAACAAGTGCAGGATGTGTGGCATGGAGGTGGGAAATGTAACACACACAATTCGCGCTTGTGGAATGCTTACGGAGAAAAGAGACAAATGATAAAGGGATAAAAATGGCCGCCCATCTGTATTGGTTCCTATGTAGAAAGTATGAAGTTGAAATCGATGAGAAATGTTACCGCCACAAGCCAAAGAAGGTGATCGAATACGACCAAGTCAAGATCTTTTTGTGGGATTTCAACATACAAATAGATAGATAGATAGATAGATATAGATAGAAATAATTTGTCTATGTAGATAGATAGATAGATGAAACAAATTGGTAGATAGATAGATAGATAGATAGATAGATAATGGAAACATGACAGGTATGAGATAGATAGATAGATAGAAAAATAGATAGATAGATAGAATTTCACAGAATGTAAACGAATTGTAAATTTTAATTTTTTTATGACAATAATAGGATAGATAAATTTAATATAATGGATGTAGATGTTTGTTTCGATGTTTCTTCAACAAATTGAGATAGATAGATAGATAGATAGATAGATAGATAGATAGATAGATAGATAGATAGACGTGAACAAATTCGGATAGATAGATAGATAGATAAATGTGAACAAATTGTGATAGATAGATAGATAGATAGATAGATAGATAGACAGATGCTCTGTCTGACAAATTGAGAAGTGAATTGAGGTGAACAGCACAGGATTAATGTATGGCAAACTTTGGGTGGATTATTGTTATATATATGAAAATATTGAAAATCTATCTATCTATCTATCTATCTATCTATCTATCTATCTATCTCTCTCTCTCTCTATATATATATATATATCTAGATAAATATATATAAATATACATATATATATATATATATATATATATCCGATATATATATATATATCAGATAAATATATATATATATATAAATAACATATATATATATATATATATATATATATATATAAAACGAGCATATATATATAGATAGATACATACATACATAGAAATGAACAGACATGGCTAGCTAGCTATCTAGACTGATAGATCTATCAGATAAATATAGACTTATATATATATATATATATATATATATATATATATATATATATATATATATATATATATATCAGGATGCTTGCGGAGAAAAGATCCAAACGATGAAGTGATAAAAATGGCCGCCGATCTGTATTGGTTCCTATGTAGAAAGCATGAAGCTGAATTCGATGAGAAATGGTACCACCACATGACTGAGAAGGTGATCGAAAACGACCAAGTCATGATCATCTTGTGGCATTTCAACTTTCAAACAAACCGCTTCCTTTAGGCCACCAAAAACAGACGCCATCATCGTTGAAAAGAAACAAAGAAATTTCCTCCTTATCGAAATGGCTACGCCTGGTCATCATAAATATCAAAGTTAAAGAAATTAGCAAGCTGAAGAAATGCATCGACCTCCGGATTTAATCGTTCAAAATGTGGCATATCCAGACCACTACTCTCTCCGTCATCACTGGGCGAATGTGGTCTATAGCATCGAAATTAAATCCTCCATTATGAAAATCGGAATAATAATCGCTTCAGAAATTTTTTAAATCTTCTACGAAAGCTGCTATCTGTTGGAAGTCGTACGACATGCTGGAGATCACCCATAATGCAAGATATTCGGCTGAAAACGAAAAACGCGCGGAAGAAGGAAATATACTACTACTACTACTACTACTACTACTACTACTACTAATAATAATAATAATAATAAACAACTCTAGTTGTAGTTGGAGCCCTTGGATTGATTGGTAAAAAAATCCAACAGATCCATTAAAGGGATTCCTGGTAGCCCATGCTTTAAAGAAATAAAAAAAAAATATTCACAAGTACAGACCACACCTTAAGAAGTTCGGGACAAATAGCAATATCATCTAATCAGGATGTTCTATACTTGCCCCAAATGAATATAAAAATCGTATTACACACTGGACAATGAGTATTTCTTGAAAAAAAAAACCTAAGATCACACCTTATTTCTCATAAATGACTATGAAAAATAGGTTGAAAAACCAGAAAGAAAAATAGGTGTGATTGTAACATAGCAACCAAGGAATTTGAAAAAACTCAAGAAAATTGAAATAGAAAAAATCAGTGTAATACGTCATAAACAACACATTGAAAGAACTTTGACCTTTAGTTTCTGGTCCAGAGCTGGAAACTTTGTCTATGTAACGTATACACCAAAAACCAAAGGACCTGCCTTAATAATAGCAGAAATAATATGATGATGATGACATAATAATAATAATAATAATAATAATAATAATAATAATAATAATAATCTATGGTTTAAAAAGAAGACAGACGTAATGTCGATACATTGTTAAACACTATATTTTCTTTTTTTTCTTTTTCTTACTTCGCTTTCTTCGCCAATTACAAAATATAATATCACTTTAAATCGAAGAAGTGTTGGAATTTGAAACACTCCAAATTAATTTCTATTATGATACTGAGGAAAGTGCTGGATATTTGAGGAGACATGCTGTTTCTCAGTATCCAGCGATACCAAACATTTGGTGTGAACATAAAAATCTTTGAAATAATAATGATGATGACGAAAAAATCAAAACGCGTAAAAAAGTTGTCAGAAATTCGCATTAGTCACAATCAGGTAGAAGGGGCCCAATCTTTCTTCACACTCGTAAATCCGCAGTGGGGGTGTTGTTTCTTGTCTAATGACAAATTAATTCAGTTTTGACCCAGCCTTGTTTCCTTGTTTATTTTTAATTTTGTTTTCGATTCCTGTAAAGTGCCTCGTCGAATCGGAATCAGCTTAAAAATTCATGACATCTTTCAGATTCGCCGTGTTGATTGGTCGACATTTCTTCTAAATTCGTTTTATCTTCAAATGCTGAGAGATTTCTAGAAGAAAGGATAAATCCTTGGATTTAAAAGAGGAACCTGGGAAATAAGTCAAATTCTTTAGTTCTTTTATGCTTTTTTTTTCCCTTCTTTTTTTCCTTCATTCATTTCTTTCTTTCTTTTTTTCTCTCTTTTGAACCGACTCCCTCTTTTCTTCATATTTCTTTTTTACTTCAATCCGTGTTTCTTTCTTCCCCTTCTTTTTAATTTTTTCTTTCTTTATTTACATTATTCGGGCTGTTATCCTCATCTTCATTGCCATATTCAAAACATTTCGGCCGTTGTACGCTCCGGCCTTCTACAGGATCTGTCTATATTTCTGAGATGAGGTACTGCAATCATTTACACTATTTACATTGTTCAGACTGTTGTCCTCATCTTTATTGTCATATTCACAACGTTTCGACCGTTGTACGCTCCGGCCTTCTACAGGATCCGTCTATATTTCTAAAATGTGGTGTTGTAATCATTTACACTATTTACATTGTTCGGACTGTTGTCCTCATCTTTATTGTCATATTCACAACGTTTCGACCGTTGCACGCTCCGGCCTTCTACAGGATATCATTTACATTATTTAAATTCTTCGGACGGTTGTCCTCATCTTGATTGCCATATTTACGGCGTTTCGGCCGTTGAATGTTCTGGCCTTCTTCCGGATCTGTTTATATTTCTGAGATGAGGTATTGCAATTATTTATATTATTTACATTGTTCGGACTGTTGTTCTTATCTTCATTGTCACATTGACAACGTTTCGGCCGTTGTACGCTCTGACCTTCTTCAGGCAATGAAAATAACAGACCGAATATTTTAAACAATGTAAGTAAACAAATGATAATCTCTAGACGTCATGATTTTAAGCGCACTGTTTGTCTGGCAATTAGGTTTCATCATTTGACAATTGAATTGGCTAGACGTAACCGAAGAGTTTCTTCATTCACATGTGCTAGAATTATCGTTTTCTTAACAGTGTGGATTTACCACAATCTGAGTTATTTTGATTTTACCCCAAGGTTTAAAGTTCATGACAAATGTTAACTAAATTTTGCAATTGTACTGTCTGCTAGTAGGTCAATAATCTTGTCATACGTGGAACAAGATATTTTCCCGGAGAGTTATCCTCATCTCCATTGCCTAATTCATAAAATTTCCGGCCTTCTTCAGTTGATTAGAATTTCGATCGAACCTTTTATTTCGCCCACCGGATTGTTCTAGTTCCACGTGCCATGACTCTTCCGATGTCTCAGTTATTTCCATTTAACTCAACTCTCCAAGTTTATTGGATCACCGCTGCTGTGGCCTGGTATTGAACTCACAACTCTTTGGGTCCAATCGCTGGATCTAGCCAACGTCTATTTCCACTGGGCCATGTATAAATTTCTGGGACTTATAAATCTAATGTCACAGCAACCTTTTTCACCAGTGCTCATATTGCATTTAGCCATTATTATTATTGTTTATTTTTTTACCAGAACTTATATTGCAATTTAGTGTTGTTATTCATTGCTTTTCTCAGGCAAATCCTTATTACTGGTTTACATATTGTATTCAAAGGGCCGGAGCGTACAACGGCCGAAACGATGAGGATAACATTACGAATGATGTAAATAATGCAAGTAATCATAATACCTCATCTCAGAGATGCAGTCACCTGAATAAGGCCAGAGCGTAAATCAACCGAAACGTTTTGAATATGGCAATGAAGATGAGGATAACACTCCGAATGATGTAAATAATGCAAGTAATCATAATGCCTCATCTCAGAGATCCATTCACCTGAAGAAGGCCGGAGAGTACAACGGCCGAAACGTTGTGAATATGGCAATGACGATGAGGGTAAAAATTTAATAATGTAAATAATGCAAGTAGTCATAATAGCTAATCTC